TCTCCCATCGGCCTGTGCCAAGGTGGAATTACGCAAGCGGCGATGGTGACCGCGACCCAGACTTAAGAACACGGTTGCCATGACTAGCTTGTTGGGATGCTGAACTTTGCCTCAGTGGTGGATCGGAACTTGTAGCACTGGCAAATTGTGCACCACCGGACGGGACTGTGTGCTCTCGCTCACTCGCTCACTCGCTCACTCGCTCTCTCTTGTTCTGCCACCAGCCCCCTCTCTCTCTCTTTCCCCTCCCTTTCAGCTCTTCAAGCTAACGTATTGGCTGAGCTACAGGCATCTTGTTGCCAAATAGGTGGGCCCTACTCGTGTTGGCAAAGACTCAGGCAATGGTTATGGAAATAACGTGGAGAGGACGAGAGAGAGCGAGCGAGCGATCGAGAGAGAGAGAGTTGGAGAGAAAAGGAGTAAAAAAAGCAGCAGCACTTGGGTTTGCCAGCGGTCCTGCAAGCTCGTCCAACATTGATTCGGTTCTCTTTTTTTCCCTGCCTGTATTCTGTGCTTTGCATTAGCCAGCTCCCCCCACCCGCCCCACTTCGTCGCAGGAGTGTGCATGCATGTGCCTGCGTTATGTGTGTGCCGCGCTCTCTGAGTTTTTTGCCGGATCCAAAGATCTAAGAAAACACTCATTGTGCTTTGCCAAGGATTTTTTTTTTTGTCTGCATTGTTTAGATTTTTTTTTATTATTTGGAAAGCAAAAGCATTTATTTTGAGTGCTGCTGCTTTTCTGTTTGTTTTTTTCTTCTTCTTTTTTTCTTGCATACACACCTTTATTTAATTTTTTGTTTTTCATTTTTTTCTTCTTTTTTGGAACAATTTTTTAAAAAAATAACCAATTTTACCTGGAAACGCAAAAGAAAATTCCTGATCTTGAAATTTCATGAAAACTTCTTTCTGCCGGCAATTGGAGCGTCTCCAGTCTTCTTTCCTATTTACCCAAGTTTTTTTCGGTCGCCAATTCTTCATCTTTGCCAAGCCAGCTGTTGTTGTTTCGGCGTGAGTGGCAAAGAACTGGTGCGGGTGGATTTTTTTTTTCCCCGTCCTGAACGGCGTGCCAAATTTATGATGAGAGTGCAAAATGGTAACTACCAGCCTTTCTCTCTCTTTCTGCTCCTGTCTGCAGTGTGTGCTTTTCACGGTGCTATCTGCCTTCTCGATTGTCGAAATGTGAACATGCCTGGATTTCTGCACGACAGCAGCCCGCAGACAGGATTTGATGGCAGGTCTTGAAGGGACGCAGTTTAACCGCGGTCTTGTTGGGGCGAGAGTTGGCGGGGAGGGTCTGGGGCACGGCGGCCCTGGCACTGGGGCACCGTGGCGCGGTTTAGGCTTTGTCACTGAGCGTTGTGTGGTGAAGGTATTATTGGAGAGCTGAATGAGTCTTCCGTTGCCGTGGGGATCGCCAAGCTTTTCTTGGCCTGACTTGAGCTAAAGAAGCTGCTTTCTGTGAATTGCAGAATCTCGGAATTCCTGCACAGCCGCTGAGATCTTTAAACTGTCTGAAAAAGAGCCTCGTTTAGCTTTCAATTTGCATTTACTTTAATTTCATTTAAAGTCTTTGTATTTGTGTAGGATAATCGTGTCTGAACTTAAGGGATTTTTCTTTATGCATGCTTCTGTTGTGAAAATTGAAAATAATGATCGATCACACTCTCATAATGGCTTTCAATTTACATTCTATTCAGTCTTAATTTATGGATTTTATTGATTTATTTTTATGTTTGCTCAGCATTGAAAGAAATGCCAAAATTAGATCCTATTTCCAGAAAATTGGCATTCAAATTCATAACAATCAAATGGCTTTAATGGAATGTAATGATAAATGGAGACTAAATAGAATGTAAGAATGTATTATTTCAATTGAAAATAATATTTGTGAACTAAATTGATTTCTACACTGCTAAAAATAATTTTCTTAATCTGTATTTTTTTTTGTTTTCCAGTAAAAATATCCCTAAACAACATAAATGTACTTGAGGAGCAACATTTTTTTTTAAAGATAAAACCTGTTTCCAGAAAGAATATTCTGAATTAAGTTTATTTTTTCCTTATGTTTACCTCATTGGCAAATATATTTATTCTTTGAACCTCTCTAAAATTATTGAGATTTATGCTTAAATCCTAAAATGCATTCAAATGGACCTAATTCAGCATGCATTCTCTTTTATTTACACTATTATAGATCATTTTAATGCGAAAACAAGACACAATTGTTATTTGCAGATGAGTAAATGTGACTGCATGCAATGCATCCTTTTCCAAAGTTCTCAAAATATTCATTTTTAAGTTCCACGAAAGTCTCTGAAATTAGCTTTTTTTTTTTTATCCAACAGGATGAATTTCATCCCTTCATCGAGGCTTTGCTGCCACACGTCCGTGCGTTCTCCTACACCTGGTTCAACCTCCAGGCCCGCAAGCGCAAGTACTTCAAGAAGCACGAGAAGCGCATGACGAAGGACGAGGAGCGCGCCGTCAAAGACGAACTCCTGGGCGAGAAGCCTGAGATCAAGCAGAAGTGGGCGTCCCGTCTGCTCGCCAAGCTCCGCAAAGACATCCGGCCGGAGTTCCGTGAGGACTTCGTGCTCACCATCACGGGGAAGAAGCCGCCGTGCTGCGTGCTGTCCAACCCCGACCAGAAGGGCAAGATCCGCCGCATCGACTGCCTGCGGCAAGCGGACAAGGTCTGGCGCCTGGACCTGGTGATGGTGATCCTGTTCAAGGGAAGCCCGTTGGAGAGCACAGACGGAGAGAGGCTGGTCAAGTCGCCGCAGTGCTCCAACCATGGCCTCTGCGTGCAGCCACACCACATCGGAGTGTCCGTGAAAGAACTGGACCTGTATCTGGCCTACTTTGTCCACACGCCAGGTGAGCCACAGTCTCACACACACACACACACACACACACACACACACACTGAAATGTGCCGCAGCGTAACCCGGTTCAGGAAACACGATCCAATTCGGTTCCGGGCTGTATTCCAGAAATGTACTTGAATGCAAATATATGCAAATACAGGCTTTGTTGTGTTTATTTCTTTGTTGTTATTTTTGTGGTTGCGATGAAACTTGAAGGAGTGTGTGTGAAATTGTGACATTTTTGACTTTTTGTGTGTGTGTGTGTGTGTGTGTGTGTGTGTGTGAGAACTGGTTTATAGGTTATGTTCGCTGTAGAGTGTGTAGCATAATGCACCCATACCTTTGATAGTTTGTGTGTGTGTGTGTGTGTATAAATGTCAGATAGTGTATTGTGGCGGTGACAGCTGGCCTGCTCCCAGCTGGTGTAAAGGCCACACACACACACACACACACACTGGTTAGTTACACTACTGCCTTTTAATAAACACACCAATAATCAGAACGATCACATTCTCATAGACGGAGAATGTACTTTCGATTTACACCTCTTAATTTATGTATTTTATTTAGTTATTTATTTTTGTTTTGCTCAGCATTGAAATGTCAAAATTAGATATTAAAATCAGAACATTAATATTAAAAATCCCAACAATGAAATGACTTTTGTGCAACTTAATGATAAATGCAGACTAAATAGAACATAAAAATGTTAAAATATTTTGTTTTATACAGCATAAAAATATAAAATATAACATAACATATATAATGTTTTGTATTCCAGATTTGCAGAAATAATATATATTTATATATAAAATATATTTATATTTTAGTATTATTATTATTATCAATAATAATAATAATAATGATAATATAATAATAAACAAAATTGCTAGAATTTTATTTCTAAATACTTAGTCTTCTGCACCTCTACTACAACAATAGTTTGTTCAATTAATATGTATTTTTTAATCAATTAAAATATTTAATTATTGTTTAAAATTGATTATTATTATTATTATTATCATTTATTAACAGTAATAATAATAAACAAATAAATGTCAAGGATTATTTCTAAACACTTAAAATAATGCTTTCTGCAACTACTACAACAATAATAGCTTGTTGATTTAATATGAACTTTATTTAAAATATTTAAGTTTTTTTTTTTGTAATGTTAGAATTGGTGATTGTAGTTTTGTTGCAGGTGCAAGTATTTATTTGTCAGATGCTCTGTATGTTGGTCACTGTATTGGCAGCAGTTCTTTGGAAAACACAGAAAGAGACGAGCACAAACAGCGCAATATTATATTTGCAGCTATTTACAGGCAGCTCAGTTATTTAGCTATTATCTGTGCACTCAGAGTATGTGAACAGGCAACATTTGACGGCGGTTTTCGCCTTTGTTGTGACACAGAGCCATAATTCTGTTTGCTGGCAGGGCCTCCGAAAGAGATTTTGATGCCCATGCCGAGTTTCCCTTTCGCTCCGTGTGGAACTCGGCGTCAGTTAGCCGGTTCACCATGCCGTTCTTTTCCTGTTTAACGGTATGCCAGGACTCAGATTATCTCCTGCTGACCCGGCCGAATCTCCTGTCTTAATCCGGACGCTATTAAAGCTGCCCGATGGCTCATTGTTCCGGCCACATCCGTTTTACCATATTGAGGGAATATTACTGCAACATTTGTTCATTTCCCTTAAACACTGACAGACCCCGTTTTACGCAGTCTGTGTTTTGCGAAGATTATTCTCAAAGCAAACATTTGCGTTTATTTGCGGCGAGCGCCTGCCAAAAGCCAGCCCTGGTTTAGATCACTTCTGCTTTTGCTGTCTAAGTCAGCGTTTACATTACGGCTCCAGCGTCTGAACAACTACATGTACTGTGATATTTGCACGCTGTAGCTCAGGAGGCACAATTCATGTATAATTTACTCTCCAGGTCCGGTTGTTTTGTGGTGTATTGACAAGATGCGTGTCGTATCGCCCCCTGGGAGCGATTAATGACGTTAAACGCCGACGCTTAAATACCCAGGAGCACGACGGCGTAATTACGCTCGGTCTTCTCGCCGCACGCCGGCTGTATTAATGATGATGATTAATGGGAGTTTTTGACGAGCACCTCGGATCGGCCGTCTCGCGCAGCTCCAGAAAAAAAAGTTGTTATTTTTCTTCTGCGTTTGTCAGAATGATGGATGTTTTCTCCCGGGTTAGTCATCTCTGGAGCTCGCCACGTCATACGGCTTCCATTATCGCGCAGTCATGATAAAAACATGTGCCTGCTCTCATCTCTAATCGAGCTGTGTCCAGCTCAGACAGCCGATAAAACGCCGGCCGCGGTGCCAAGTTCTGTAGTCAGGCGACAGCTATACAGCTCTGTGTTGTAAAGGAGAGAGAGAGGGATAGACGCTGAAAAGAGGGGAACTAATGGTGGCCTTTTCCTTTTAGAAAAGGAAATGGATGTGTATAGTCGAACGACAAAAGACTCTTAAAGTGCGGTCAAGCGTTAAATCACTTGTTTCACAGCGAATCATCTATTCAGGATCGTTTCCACAGCTTTCAAGAGAGAGGTGTTGCGATTTCTAGCGGGAATTTAAAAATAAAGACGGATTTTGTGCTGTGGGTGTTTGATGACGGTGTGAGCTGCAAACTTTTATAGTTGGTATTTTCTGCATCATGTTTTTTTTTAGCCGAGCTTTTGCATCTCTTCAGAAGTGACAAAAGCAATGAGACTGCTTGCCATCAAAGGCCTTTGGGCAGCAGCGCTCCTTCTTGGCTGGTAATCGAGGTGTTGTGGGCCGCTAACAGATTCCCGCTGCTCCAGGCTTTGAGGCCCGTAACCAGATCGACAGCAGACAGTCACCCACACTGACCGCTGACTCGCCGCTCTGGTCACCTTCACATTCGATTTGATTTGAAGCTGGGTGTACTTTTGACTCTCTTTCAGCAACGTGAAGGTGTTGCTTGGATCGCACTCAGGAAGCTGGTTTTCCTGTGTTTATTGTGTTTGTGAGAGAGAGTTTGTTTAATTGCAGGTGCTGGTGGAAAAATATTAGTCCATTTGGATTTAGCTTTTACTCTTTGGCTGTTTTTAAAAATATGACATAAGAATATTTTAAAGCCTGTGTGTTATAGCTGATTTGTTTAGAAGTGAGAAAATGTAAATTTGAGTGTCTGCTTCAGTGATGGCAGGAAAAAAAAAAACTTAAAAAAAACAATTTACATTTTAAATATATTTTTAAGTAATGCATATTTTTTATATAAATGTAAATTTCATAATTAAAATTCAATTCAATTTTTAAACAAATATATTCACAATTTCATAATCAAATTTCATAAAATCAACATTGAACAAAATACGAATTTTTTAAATAAGTGTTTTCATAAATTACATTTTATAGGTATTTTATTATCTTTCATTTTAACAGCAAATTTCTGATGCTGCATTTTAATATTTTGAATTTATTATAATACAGAAGTGTTTAAATGACAATTAAAAAAAATATATTTTATCAGTATATTTACAATATGCTAATTCTAACTATTTTAATATATAAGTATAATTACGTTTTGCTTTAATGTGTGTAGGTGAAATATGCAAATAATAATTTCCCTAAAGATATTTATGTTCATTCACTTAGCAGTTATGATAAAACACATAGCATATCAAATGAAATAAATATATTTATTTATTCATTTGAAGCAGATGGAAAAATGCATGCGAAATGCACAAGAAGTGTGTGTTTGAAAATCTTTCTGTTGTAGTTGTTTTTCTTCTAATATTCAAACACTCATGTGGCACAATCTCGTCACCGTGAGAGAAAGTCAAAAACGGCAGAATTCAGCAGAATAAAACCTGTAGAGGTAAACCCAAAATGCCCCATATACTGCACACATAAACATATAAACAAACAGAAATAATGTAAACCAGAGATATTAATATTCTCCGGCATTTTAAAAGAGATTACATCAACAATAACCACACCAAATGAATCCTCCTCCTCCTGATCAACTATTAATTATTAGTAATGTTATTATTTGCATTGTTGCATTTGTTAAAACAGAGAATAGAACAGCGGGCAGAGAATAAAGATGGTGCAAAATGCCAAAATGGAAACAAAAGCCGGTCTGCGAAGGGAACTTCGACTGGTGTGTGTGTTTGGCACTGCCGCACGGATCTCAGCTTTTCAAATCACACCACACGCTCTGCCAACATCCCTCTCTCTTTCCCAGCCTCTCCTTCCATTTAACCCGCTTTTTCAGGCCTTTTCCTCCAAACACGTCCTCCCTCTCTCGCCATCTTAACACCTCCGTCAATGCGCCGACGGGAAAAACATGCCGTTACCTCGCTCGCAATTCCGTATAGAAACATACACTCGCTTTCTGTCACAGGAAGACGTTCTTTTTTTTTTTTTTGGAGCACTTTTCTTTTTTAATGACTCAGAAATTGGCCACAGCGAACGATCCCATACGCTGGGAAAGCCGCATTCCAAATCCAAATGGAGAGTTTGGCAGCGCTGACTTTGGCTGCCGGGCTTCTGTCTGTGATATTAGATGTAAAAAAAAAAATAATACGGGTCTGATAGATCATCCAGCTAATCGTGTTTAAGTAGATATGTTTTTACACAAAATCACCCTTTAGGCGTCTGACCCGAGTAGTCAAACTGTCACCAAGCTGAATTAAAGTTTCTTTTACTTCTAAAGTGTGTCAGCAGAACCGGCTGGAGGCGGCGTTATAGCATGACACTTCAGACAACCAGCTTATACCAGATGAGAGTCACAGAGTTTGACATAAGCCCTTATAGGAATGTATGTTTTTGTGTGTTTGCGCTGTGATGCTATTTCTACACCGGTGTGTACGGCGCGCTATGAATGACATGCCGGACAGGCTAATAGCGGCAGTCAGACTGAGCGAATAATGATTGGAAAATGAGGGCTATTATTGAACTAGAGTAAACAGCAGAGGACTCTGGTGAAAAGACCTCATTCACCACAGCGCTGGAGTGCAGCGGCTTT